TTTAAGAAGTCATATTTTCAGTCCTGCAATGTTTTCCCCCCTTCATTCCCCATATATTTAGACACATTAGTCTCACCTCAATCTATTTGTCTTCTTTACCTAGAGGAAAGCCTAAGAAAACGTGTCTCCGCCTACCTCACTTTCCCCTCTTCTCTTGCAAGGATGATGTGAAATGTTATTACGGCGCTATTTCTAAGGCAAATGAAAAGGATACTTGAAGTTTTGGTGGTGATGGTAGTTTAATTCCAGAGCCTCTTGAAACAGCTCTGGTGTGCTGAGCCGGAGCCCACGCTGGTGCCTCTGAAGGGCCGCCTGGAGAGCCTGGACCCCACAACCCCAAAAACAGCTCAGGATGCAGTCTTCAAGACAATACGGCCGCAAACTCACACCCTCTGACGAAACGAGAACACACATGCACTTATTGACTCCCTTTCACTCATTTTAAATAGATTCAACACTGTTACTGTTAGACCCTCACCAGTTACTGTACCAGCCCTAGAGTCCATCTCCAAAGCGAAGGGATTGGTCACCTGCACCATCTTCCTCTCATTGACAGGTATTAGAGATTCAGTCTCATCTGAACTGCGTAAAATGACCGGGACATCAAATCCAAACCTTGACAGACCACACCAAAGTTAGTTAGACACAGATTAAGGATGTAAACATCAACTTTTTTAATTTTAAGAGGGAACTAGCTAACGGGATATGCACCTTACACCTTACAAAAGTCCATACTTAACCCAAACCATCTAACGCTGGACTAAAATGCTAGTTTATCCTTATAAATGTGAACTCACCAGCCCAACACAACAGCCACAGTGATAATGAAACATACTGCTATGACAGTAATGTAAAACAGAGGAGAATACTCATACAGCATCACTAAAAACTCCGCAGCCATGCTTAAAATGTTACATTAATACAGTGCGCATAAATGCCGGTACGTGTAATCATTTTTTGTTTTATTTTGTTTTAAGTGCGGTATCCTGTGCAGTCTAGCGTTGGGCTGTCACCCTTTAAGACTCACTAACGTAAACTTCCGGTTGTGGCAGCCGCTACGGTGGCCCAGAGGACCAAATCCGCACATGACTCCTATACAGTCACGCATAGGGAGGAGCGTTACAGCAAGATAGTGAAGAGAAGTCCGATTCATTCCGAGAATCGACTCTTTCAAACAAATCGCTTCAATGAACCGGTGAAAAATGATTCTGTTTTGTTTACCTCAACACGTAAGTGCAGCGGCATTTTTTACATTTAAAAATGCACCTTCGTTCAAACGAAGATACTGAATACTATAATAAAGCAAAGCAAAATTGTATTATATTATTGTATATAATGGTATAAAAAATAGAATAACTGTACAATCGTTCACTATAGCGTTCAGAGTCTCTGTCTATGCCCAGCCGTACTTAAGTCAACAACACCATAAAGATGTTTTATTAGTTTTTAATGAGCAAACTTGCATTTATGAATGTGACATTTGGTCACGAATATAAGTAAATCAATTAAATAAACGCTTTCATCCTCTTATTCATATTCAAGCCAAAAAGAACATTCTCCCATAAAAGTGAACTGAATGTTTTC